AAGGATTTTATTTAGCCTTGTATGTTTATAAGCAGGGCTCTATTTCATATTAAAGACTAAATGTTTTAAATTTTTAAGATTTTACAGATTTATCGATTATGTATGTGCTTATATGACAATGTAAGGGGGGGCTGAACATGATAAGCTTTGCTTCCTTCAGTCCCTTCTCGAACTTGTACGTTATCACAGTGTGCTATTTTTTTTTTTTTTTATTACATATACTGCCTGTTTTTATGCTTGTGCTTGTTTGAGACAAATAAAAATCAAATCAAATCAAACGATCGGCCAAAACGCAACTAAAGTTTACCGTTTTCAGTTGAAATCGTTGTCATATAAACGGGGCCTTAGGGTTGGCAGTGGAGTGAGGGGGGCCTGTGAGGTGAGGGGGGGCTGAAGCTGTCGATGAGCAGGGGGAGGGGGAGGAAGACAGGTTGCTGCTGGGGAGGGGAGCAGAGTCAACAGCAGAGGTGTGAATGGATACAGTGATGGTGGGTGGGGACTCGGATCCACAGACAGAGCTCACAGGGGGGTTTGTTGTCTCAAACCTATTGAAGAATAAAGCCCCTTTTACACTGCCAGATTTTCCATGAATGTTGGGCCATTTTGCCAGCAAGCTGCGAGTGTTTAAACACACAGAGCCGGATTGGCGAGTTGATCCGAGGTGCCCAATTTTCCGCCTCGTAGGGTAGACATATTGGCGGAACCCTTTTAGTTTAAAAAGACCAAGGAGGCCTTCAGCAAAGGGAGGGACTGTTGATGACTTGTGGGAGGAGCTGTTGATGACGCCGCACGTGCGAGCCACTGGCGGTGGATAACCAGGAAACAGCTGACAGCAGGAATTAACGAGCAGCTAGTAGCAAGAGCGAAACGCAAACCTGACAAGACACTGTAAAGATGAGCAACTGAGGAGACAAGGAATTGCGCACCCTCCTTGCCCTCGCAAACGAAGAGGCCATTTGCCGTCAGATGACAGGAATGGTGAAGAACAAGCTGACTTACGAGAGAATCACCGAAGGACTAACTAGCCGCAGCTTCCCTCCCACGTCACTGTTTACGTCACACGCTGTGCTACACGTTTTGTCTTGCTCACGCCCCCCATTGCCCCGAAAAAGGCGCATTCTGTATAAACAAAAGTAGGTAGGCGGCATTTTGCCACAGTCTTGTTGTTTTTATACTGCCATGGGTGAAAGAAGACTGGGCTTTCCTGTAAATCTGCACAATTCCTATCTAAAAAGGGCTTAAGCTTAGCTCTGCTGCAAATTCTGGGCCACCTTTGACTCCAGGTGTGAATTTCCCACAGCCTGTTATTGTCGTCATCTCCTTCCACACCTCTTCTGTGTTGTTCTGTCCCATCTTGGCCCCAGTCTTGTAGCTGTTTTTGGCCTCCCTCAGTCTCCTCCTCAGCTCCTTCTGAACAGCCCTGAGTTCCTCGTGATCCTTGGACATGAACACCCTCTGCTTCCTGTTAAGAAGGCCTTTAATTTCTTTATTGATCCATGGCTTGTTGTTAGAAAAACAGCTAACCTTTTTTTGAGACAATGTTGTCCTCACAGAATTGTATGTAGTCCGTAATGCAATGAGAGAGACCCTCCATGTCATCACTAAAGTCTTCTATAAAAAATCCCCAGTCTGTGACATTAAAACACTCCTGCAGTGCCTCCTCTGTGCCATCAGACCAGACGTTAACAGTCCTTGTGCTGGCCGCCTGCTGTTCCATCATCGGCCTGTAAGTGGTGTCAAGGAGTATCAGGTTGTGGTCTGAGTCATCAAGTGGATGGAGAGAAGAAGAATTATATCCTTTCTTCACGTTGGCATACAGAAGATCCAGGATTTTATTCCCTCTCATTGCACAGTCCACATATTGTGTGAAGTTGGTCAGGACAAGAGACAGAGAAACTTGATTGAAGTCCCCACTGATCAGGATGAGAGCGCTGGGGTGCTGCATCTGTAGTCCTGTGATCACTGAGTGGATGACATCACTCGTGCTGGCTGCAACAGCTGGGAATGTAAGCAACCACCATGATGGTGTTTGAAAATTCTCTCAGTAGATAGTATGGCCGTAGTCCCACCGCCAGGAGCTCTACATCAGGAGTACACACACAGTCCTTTACGGTTACATGTCCAGCGTTAAACCACTTAGTGTTAACAAAGATAGCAAACCCCCCTCCTCTCTTTTTGCCGCTCTGCTTCCTCCGGTCCAAGGCGGATCAGCCGGGTAGATTGATAACACTGTCCGGTATATTCCCATGTTGCCATGTCTCCGTGAGGCAGAGCATGCTGCACTCCTGGTACACACACTGGTTGTTTACAAGGGCTGCCAGTTCGTCCGTTTTGTTGGTGAGTGAGGAAAAAAACCGTATAAAACAGAAGTTAAAGATACGAAAAAGAAGCAAAAAGAATGTAAATAGTCAGAGCTCCACGCCGTCTTGGTAGTTACGTATCACGCAGATAGAAGCAAATAAAAGGACAAGATAAAGCCCATGATGCTGCTGTACATAGTTTCATTCCTCCAAGCAGAGCTGCGCAGGAGAACAGAGCTCTCTGAGCAGCCACCAATATCACCCGGGGACGTCCCACAGTGAGACAAATGTGTTGTCATGTTTCAAAAACAAAACCTTTCCTTATCACTGTCTGGAAAAATACAAATACTTCATAAACAAGTCAAGCCCTCTTAAGTCATCTGTCTCACATTAAAATCAAGTCTCAAGTTATGAATACTACTCAAGTCTGACTCTAGTCAAGTCACATGACTCCAATCCCCCACCACTGAAAGTATGTCTCCAGCAGTGAAAAGGCAGCCTCTTCGTTGCACTATTAGCTGCAGGGAAAGCTGAGAACCTGAGCGAACTGGGCACAGAATTTTTGAGGTAAAACAGACTGAGCAGAGAGTTATTTTCTTCATCACAGATTTGGTTTAAGTTGGTTAATGCTGCAGTGTGTTGGTCAGACAGTCTTGTTTGTTAACTTCACTGCCGATCGCTGCTCCACTCCATTAACGTTTGCCTCTGGGTGATGGCGTAGAAAGTAGTCACAATGTATTTTCATGTTTGTCTCACAAATGTAATTATTTGGACATTAAATTAGGACAAACTTGTAAATGCTGCCTTGAGGGAAGAAGCATTACAAATTAACTCCAGCGTGTCCCCCGTAGACTGTCCGGGTGCTGCAGTGCCATCGCAGTTGAGCTCCATCACTTTTGTTCTGTCAGCATCATATTATTTATAAACATTTAGATAATCAATCATTAACATTTGTGAATCGATGCCCAATCATTAACGTCTGTACTGCGATGCATCTAAAAGTTGATTTTCTCCCCTGGTTTCCACTGCTTGTTACACAATCATTGTTTAAAAGTTTAACAGTTAAACAAGATTAGGACTATATGGAATAGTCAAAATAATTCAATCAATCAATCAATCAATTTTATTTATAAAGCCCAATATCACAAATCACAATTTGCCTCACAGGGCTTTACAGCATACGACATCCCTCTGTCCTTAGGACCCTTGCAGCGGATAAGGGAAAACTCCCCCCCAAAAAAAACCTTTAACAGGGGAAAAAAACGGTAGAAACCTCAGGAAGAGCAACTGAGGAGGGATCCCTCTTCCAGAATGGACAGACGTGCAATAGATGTCGTACAGAACAGATCAACATAATAAATTAACAGTAATCTGTATGACACAATGAGACAGAAAGAGAGACAGAGAGAGAGAGAGAGAGAGAGACAGAGACAGAGAGAGATGCAGGACAGACGGTAACGGTAATAGCTTACAACAACATTAATGAAAGTAATAATATTATAATTATGATTCTGGCTATTGTGGTACAATATGTTGAAAGTATATATTAATATTAAAAATAAGTTCCATGTCTTTTCCTACACACTTTTCCCTGACATTGATGGAAAATATCATGAGGTCAAGGAAAATATAAAAGAGAATTCATAAGGAAATGACAATCATGGGGCTAATACCCCTTTCTGACAATCAAGGGCTGGTTTAGCTTGGTTCAGCCTGTAAGCCCAGCGCAGCAGGGATTTGCTTCTCCATTACAATAGGGCTACCCACTTGAAGGTGTGTCTTTAACTTGTGACGGCTTACCTTGAGTGGTGATGTTTAAAAACTTTGGGTTATCCATGGGTTAAGTAAGATTCTTCACAATAAAAGTCCCCAGTTATGTAGAAGTAAAGTAAAATAAGTAAATGATGGGTTTTCCATAGCAGTTACTTAACATGACTTACACAGCTGAAAGCAAATATGAAACAGTAAAATAAAGCAGATATCTAAAGTAAAAACGAAGCACTGGAGGGAAACTAATCTCCAAACCACAAAGATTTGGTTAGAAGCTACCAATGTACTGAGAGCTGAACACACAGAGACTTTTAAAAAGCCCTTCTCTCTGGTCTTCTGCAGACATAGGTGAGTAGAGTCTCGCAACAGGCTTGTTTGAGGGGGAAAGGGGGGTCATTGGGGGTTGACTGCTGTTGGCGAGCTGTCACCGCTATCCGCTTGGATGCAGGCGGCCAGCTTTCAGTCAAAAATCAATCTCTGGAGCGATTCAGCATGGCACTGTGAATCTTAACTGATAATGGAAACAAAAATTGGTGTGCCATGGCTTGACTCAGCTTGGCCAAAAGTGACAGTGGAAAGGACCCACAGAAGAAATCAACAACATTTTCACTGGGCTCCATAATTTTGCAACCGTTTATGTTATCGATATGGCCTGCTGTGGTGAAGCTGCAATGTTCCAAATCTGGATTGCTAAAAGCACATCTGAGACACTTGACCCAGTGTGTTACTACCCTATTGTTTTATGCAGGCTGTATAAATGTAGACAACCCTGTGAAAAAAATGGTGATCTCTCCTTAGCATTTAGAGAATTCCACCAGCTCTTATCATGGCTGCCACTGAGATACTTTGGGTCATTTCACTCAGGCAGGAAAGAAAAAAAAGACTTTTAGACTGCAGCCTAAGAGTCTACAGCCATGCTAGGAGACTTGCCTTGTTGGGGGCAGCTGTTGTCCCATTGTGCCACCGGGAGGTCCTGATGAGTCAATGTCTTCCACTGGGGAGGTGCACACTGGCTTACTGGAGGCAAACTCCATGGCATACTGGAGGACATCTGCCAGAGGAAACCTCTTGGGGCCTGAGCCATAACTCAGATACCTGAGAGAGAACAGAGAGAGAGAGAGTGAGAGTCAAAGAGATGCAGGGAAATCAAAGGAGAGAGTATCAAAAAGAGGGCATAGTGACAGATGAAGAAAGAGAGGGAATTGCCAGCATGAGAAATAACTCTTGGTGGCTGTCTCAAGAGCTTTGTTGACCTTGGCTCAACAAAAAGTGATTGGTCTTCAAGTAGTACCTCTCCAGTCGCTGCTGAAGCAGTGTCAGATGCTCTTTCAGCCTCTTGATCTCCTCCCTCTTGATCCGAGTTATTTCTCTGTTCCTATCCATGTACCTAACAACACAAAGAGCACAGCAGAAGTTTCATTCTTTAAGAGACTTGGGATTCATGTTATTTAACGCAGAGAAAAACAGTGTAGAATCTATAATACTATTTCTATTACCTGTCCATGTAGAGGACAGAGGGGAACTCTAGCTTGTTGTGGATCTTCTCAGGTCGTCCCAGTGCTTGGTTAAACTCAAATCTTGACAGTTCAAAGGTCAACACAGGAGGGAGTTCTGTGAACCAGTGCTGAAACAAAGTTGGATGTTAACCTTGACATTCAGTCTCCTATTGTGTCACAATATAGAGTTTGGTATTGGTAAGATATTTTCCCTGAAGAATCATTGTTTTTCACAGATCCTCAACAAAATTTTGTTTGCAATATCACCATCTGAGAATTTTTTTTTTGTTGTTGTTGATGTGAATTTGAGCTGCATTTCAACATGGTATGGATGCATTACTAATGAGATAACCAAATCTTTGATTACACAAGTCATTTCATACCTTCATTAACAACATCATGTTCAGTTTCATTTACATTTATATTTTTGTAAGATATATCCAGGATGTCGAACTGACTCAGCAGCAAAAACAAGTTAAAATTAAAGCTGCAAGCAGCGTTTGGCGGGACCTCGCACTCGCGCCCGTTTCGGGCCCCAGCTTATGTCGTCACTGTGAATTATTTAGAAATATCAAACATGTTGCCACAAACATCAGAAAATCCTTACAGAGCTGAACGTTTTGATGTTTGAATGCTTTCTGTAGCTGTAGGTATGGATAAGTGATGTCACGATATGCAAATTAGATGAGTGAATTTATTCCCATCAGATTCCTCGTCCTTTATTTTGAGGAAGAGACAACAAAAACAACACAAAACAAAATAAATTTACGATGTAAATATGTTCAAAATGTTGTTTTACTGAGATGTATGAAATCCAATATGGCCGCTGCCTAGTGACGTCACAATATGCAAATTAGATAAGTTAATTTACTCCCATGACAAACTTTGGGTCATGATGAATAGTTTTCTCATTTACAGTATGCCTTTATCTCTCACCACTTTCAAGCCACAGCCTTTTGAAATGTTGAAATGAAAATGGAATATTTTCCTCAATAAACTCTGGCACCTAAAGGGTTAAAATGGAGATTGTGCCCCTGTCATGTCTGCATGTAAGATTTAGACACACACACACATCATGTTTCTGTGAGTTTGTGTGTGACAGCGGTTGCCATGGTGATGAAGTAAGTGCACCTGGCAGAAGAGCAGAGAGAGAGAGTGACAGAACACAGAGAGACCTGTTTTAGTGGAGATTTAACTCCTCGAAGAAGTTCTTCCCATTCCCAAACCGCTGGTCCAATCATCAAAATAATGTGATCATGAGAGAGATAAAGTTATACAGAAGATCTGTTTAGCAGCAGTTGAACTGGTATGTGTGCGTCTTTAAAGCCGACACAATAAACGGTGTAGGAGGAGATGTGTTTTTTTTTAAGAGCACGTTTGAGGGGAAATCTTACTTTGAAAGGGCAAATAGCTCACTTCCTGTTGGATTTAGGTCATGGGTGTTAGCGTGTTATTTGTAGGTCGAACACTCCAGTTTTGGTTTGATCTTGATACGACATTCCTACGGGCTGCAGTGGCCAGTTTAGTGCACCTATGTGGCGCTAGAGAGCCCATTTTGGCACTGTAGGGGTTAATAATGTGTGTGTTCTGTTTCAAATGAAGTTTCTGCTGCTGTAATCTGTCCTTTAAAGATTGTGAGACACACAGACCAGAGAACCCTGTGGCTGTGTCTGTGTGTGCAGCCGTTGTCATGGCGATTAATGACTTGCCCGCACCTGTGGCAGACACAGACACGTCAGGAGAGCAGATCACCAAAGGCTGTTTATAAAGGGATTTAACTCCTCGAACAAATGCTTCGCATACCCAAACCGTTGGTCCAAGCAAGAAAATAAAGTGATTTTGAGAGACAGCCACGTCTCGTGAACGCACGTGTCGCGTTTTATATTTCTCGAGTCAAAAATGTGGTCAGGGGAGCGAGTTTAAAATGTGTTGCACCCCAGCTGTTTCCAGAAATTTCTCCTCTGAGTTTACATGGGAGTGAATGAGAAAAAAATCAGCGCTCCCTTCGCTTTGGAGCCACTCAGCAAAAATGTGTACGTGTGAGAGATTCCATGTCAACATATCTGTGAGCTGGACAAATTTTCCTACGTTTTGTGGTATAAATTGTGTCTGTACAGTGAAAATTGTGGCCATGGCAGCGAGTTAAAGACAAAAGTTTTAGACGATTTTTAGAGCCCTCTCCACTCTAGCTCACAGCATTCCGTGCAATACACACCCATTGTAAACTGAGAATTTCTCCACTTTTGCTCATGGTACTTTGAGAGGCACAGATGAAAAACGGTAAAAGATATGAAAAAGATGAAAACATGAGTGAATAGATGAGACCTGTGGCAACATTTGAGAGTTGGAATGGAGTCTGTAGCACAAAGTATGGAGACGCTGTAAATGCTAGAAAAAGCCCTAAGATTGGTCTCTTTCTCCCCCCTGCTGCCATTCATTTCCTATGGGACAGCTTTCGAGGATCACCAGGACGTTTTTCTGACATCTCACCTCATGGAGCCCATAAAATCCAAACTAAGCAAGTAATGAAAAAGTTACGAATAACTTTTGATTAGAACGAGTTGATCTGTCATCTGTGCAAGTTTGAAGCCGATTGGATAAGCGGTGTATGAGAAGAAGATTTTTTAGGAAAGGCAGTTTTAAGGCAAAATCTTACTTTGAAAGGGCAAATAGCTCACTTCCTGTTGGATTTAGGTCAGGGGTGTCAGTGCGTGATTTTTAGGTCTTCATGAGACGAACACGCCGCTTTTGGTTTCATGTTTCTACGACATTCCTACAGGCCGTGGCGGCCATTTTTGTGTGCCTAGGTGGCGCTAGAGAGCCCATTTTGGCACTTTAGGGGTTAATGTCATGATTTTCTAAAATTTTTCACCGGTTCTGATGTGCGTGCCAATTTTGGTGAGTTTTTGAGCATGTTTAGGGGTCAAATTCCAGTTTAAAGAGGCGGCGGGAGAAAGAATAAAGAATAATAATAATAATAAAAGGAGCAAAAACAATAGGGTCCTCGCCTTCGGCGAGGACTGCTCACAGAGCAGTCCTCTGCCTTAGGGCTCAGTCCCTAATAATAATAAACGGAGCAAAAACAATAGGGTCCTCGCCTTTGGCGAGGACTGCTCACAGAGCAGTCCTCTGCCTTACGGCTCGGTCCCTAAATATAGTCCCAAGTGGCAATTTCAGGGTTCAAGCCAGCATGGACCTTTAAAATTGAAGGCTGGGTAGGATCAAGGCTTTTCACAATTTAGGATGCCTGCATAAAGATTATCAACAGGCCTTATGTACAAATGCACGTCCAAATCTCTATCGGGCCATGCTTTTCTCTGGAAACAGTTGCTTCCTATTGGTCAACTGCATTTAATTTTCTGAACATGCTTTAATGGCTTAGTTAAAAAAGTCCAGTAAGTTTGGTAATGTTTGAAAAACCTAGGGCTGTAGTCTCTTGGTCGACTAGTCGATTATTTGGTCGATATGCTCTCATCCAACTAAATTCTCATTGGTCGAATAATCGTTGTGTTACTTTCATAAGGAGAAAAGTGCTACATCAATAACTTTCCAGGATTAATCCATTATTTCCTGCGGCAGGAGAGACAGGCTATGTTACTTGTGAAAATGGGGGTGTATTCAAAACACCCTCGTTGTTGACAGAAAGTTGAACTCGCAGGGCGTCGGTGGCTTAGTGGTAGAGCAGGCGCCCCATGTACAAGACTGTTGCCGCAGTGGCCCGAGTTCGACTCCAGCCTGTGGCCCTTTGCTGCATGTCACTCCATCTCTCTCTCTCTCCCCCTTTCACGCTCATCTGTCCTATCGATTAAAGGCTTAAAAATGCCCCAAAAATATCTTTAAAAAAAAAAAGAAAGTTGAACTCGCCCACCCTGACGCTCAGCGTTGTGGTGACACAGACCTCCTGTCTGTCGCCGTATACTGACACCATGAAGACACTAAAGCCTCCACTAAAATAGCATTTTAAGTCTTGTGTGTGATATGTCCTTTAGGGATTTATACTTTGGGATTTATCCTGGCTTCATATGAACATAGGAAATCATACAATGTAAAATGCCATAGGCTGGCGCCGACTAGCGTTTTGGAGGTGTCAATGCAGAGTGACACAGACACACCACCGCAGAAGTAAAAATAACGTGCAGATTTTTTTCCCATGACTAATCAATTTGTCGAAGATTATGCATGACTTTAGTCGACCAAGATTTCTTTGGTTGACTAGAGCCCTAGAAAAACCGTCATTGATTAATTGACAGATTTTGCGTAATGCCATTGCACTTGTTTGGAACTGGTGGCACCCCCTACTGCCCGATTTCAAAATTATTTTACAACATACTGCATATACTACGTTGCGAAAAACTGAAAAAAAAAAAATAAAGTTCACTCTGTAAAAATATCTCATGAAGGAAGACTGTTACTGCTGTTATTTAGTGAAACCAAATAAAGGAAAGATGTCAACAAAATTCAAATAAACACAAGAAGTTTGTGCTCTAGAGAAAGGATCAGCACTCAGTGAATAACCTCCTAAGTCCTATGATAAGCTATTATGGCAAGGCTTAACGAGACAGACTAGTGAGCAGTGATAACTAACATGTCTTTGGGGTCATCGGGTGGGAACCTCCTTTCACCAGTGTTTCGTCTAGGTGGTCCCACAACACCTCCAGGAGGCCAGACAGTGATCTCTGTCGTCCCAGAGACACTCCCCTAATGCCAGGTCTCACTGCTCCCCGCACCAACCCAATAACCTTCTTTACCTTATTTACGCATGGCTTTCTCAGCCCAAACAGCACTGCCACCTTCAACCAAACCCAGGCTCCGTACATGCGAGCTCCAGGTAGAAACAGTGCTGATACTACCTTTCCTAGCACATTCACCATACTCTATTTCACACGCTACATAGCATAACTCCAATATAAACTAAAGTTAAAGGAGATAGATAAACTGACAGGATCAGCAAACACACTCACCTTGCAGCATGGTCTCAAACAAAAGGGATTCAAATAGGCCACTCCCACACTTAAATAACCTAATAATCCTCTTCCTGGATTTTCTCCTGAGAGGACTGATTGGTGGATCTCTTCACCTGACCTCAAGGAGTTATGTACCCCGCTTAGTAGTTCCCCCTGCTGGCCTC